TTAACTTTTTTTTTTTAAATTGATTTTACTTGAGTGTTTTTATTGCCTAAGCCAATTATTTTTTAATATTTTCCATGTTTTATTATTATCTAACTACCTAGCTTTAATAAAAGACCAACAATCACGAAATTAAGCCAAATGCTGATTGTCAGTGACCAAAAAATTAACTAAAGTCAAAATCGTCAGTCCGCCATGTTTAGACGCTATTTTGGAGTATTGGGTTCACCTTTTTTTTTTTTTGTGGGAACATTGGCTTTTTGTAAATAAATAGTTACACGAAACACGACGATAAGCAATTTATAGGTATGTGGAGGAGGGGTGCGTGGTAGGGGGGTCTGGCCCACAGGCTATTATATGCAGAATGAAAAAAAAAATAAAAAGACAAAAATATATATAAATTATTGCTGTAGACATCTCACAAAGCCATCAAAATACATACTGAAGGAAAAAGTAGGTTCAATTAACACAGTTAAGGAAGGTTATATTGAACAGCTGATTAGCAGAATACAAGGAAGAAAAAAAATATGCATAACTAAAATGTAATAATACAAAAAATGTTAAATAAAATATAATATCATATTAATAAATTCAAAAGAAAAAGCTGGAATGTATATATAACATCACTTCCCAACCAAACTGAGTGGATACACTGGATACACTGCCATTCCACAACTAATAATACTAAAATAAGCATAAAGCTAGAAAAGAGAAAATAAGGTAATTATGTTATAAAGGGAAAAATCCAAAACTACGAAACCCTGAGCCTCCAACATACAGGTGAATGAGTTAACTTGCCAACATTAGCAAGGTAACTATTACCTGTATGTTGGGAAGTTACCAATGGGAACTCATGGCTTCGTAGTTCTGGATTTTTCCATTTATAAAGTGTCTCTTTTCTAGCTTTATGCTAGTTTTAATAATAAATGAGTAACAAATTGACAAATTTGAAGAATTAGCCTACACAAAATGGTTCGTAACGTTATAAGAAAAAAATAAAAAAAACAATAATTTTTGAAAATAGTAAAAACATCAGAAAGGTATCAACAAAATCGTTTTAAGGCCACATGGCATCATGACAGAATATCATCAGTTGTGCTTAGTTAACAAGTTTATAAATTTAAAAAAAAAATGACTAACGAATGGTTTTCCGTCAAACTTTGGAAATAATAGTCTTAAAAGCAAATTTATTTTACTAAAATCTTTGACACATACATATATTACATTATTGACAAATCTGCGTTTTCAGTATGTATATAATTTTTTAATTTATAAAATAAAAAAGTATTTTTAATCTAATAGTCTAATACCAATATTAGAGACTAAGAACTGCTAGGATTATTGTAGGGGGAGAAGATCTCACCATCACATTTCTTTTCATTCTGAGAAGGGGAGACTTTCACAAAAATACTCCTAAAGATTTTTTAAGAATTTTTAAAAAAGATGATGAAAAAATACGTAAAAATGGCGTGCCATACAGTTTAATAGGTTCCAGAAAATTAATAATGACGTTTAGAATAGATATTATTTCTTAGGAATCTTTCATAATTTTATTGAATATAAATAGTAGAGACACAACTTTTTCCTCGGACATTTTTAATTAGATAATTCATTTGGCCATGAGCAGCATTTAAGCCAATTAATATTGGACGATCAGGATCCACTAAAGCAGTATGTCGTAAAAGTTTGAAACTTCAGGAGATAATAATATACCTTAATTGCAACAGAAAAATTTATTTAGACTATGGTCCAATTCCAAAAATGGGAGCAGTAAATCTAAATGTTGTGGTTTCTTAAGGTGGTCACGGTTTTTGTTTAATAAGAAATGAGAAATAAAAAAATATTTATATTAGGTAATTTATAATTGTATCATCGTAAACTAGAGAAATGTTTCTTTTAAAAAAAAATAAATAAAATTTGTCGTTGATACAATCATTTGAAGGAGCCCTTTGAGCAGCTACGTCACTAACCAATGACTGATCTATATGGGGAAGAAAACGTAATTTTCTCTTTACAAAAAAACATTTAGAAAACCAATTGGGTTGATTAAAATTAACTAGATAGAACAAAATTTACTCATCTTGAGAAATCCATACACGGAATGGATCGATCAGTGATTTGGCCACCCAGATATTTCGACTTAACACCTCAGGTGCTCTTTTCCTAACCTATTGAAACATAAAGACCCATTTAGACTTGAAAGAATAATTACATTCTAAAAAAATATCTATATGAAATGATGTTTAATTGATTTGAAGACCAAAAAAATTGCTTACATATTTTTTCTAGAGTAATTACCGTATGTTAAAACAGAATATCCTTCAAAAAACCTTAACACAGTACGTTGTGGGTGTATATATCTGTCTGGTTCCATATCAAGTTTGAACCATCGCGTGTCAATAGTTCCAAACATTTTTGGAGATACGTGGAATTTCCAAGATACGTTGATGAGTGGTATTAAAAAAAAATTGAATCAGTCATTCAAAGAAATGAAGGTTTTTATGCTCGCCCTAACTTGCTACTATATCTGTTATTATTTGATGAATGAAAATAAATAAAAGAGCTAAGTCTTCGCCGAATTCTGAGGGCAAGCTCAACCTCTATGCAGAAGATTGTATTGACATGATTGAGCGGACAAATATAAAAAACACAGTCTCAAATCACAAATAGTTAATTATAGAGGATTTAAAACACTTTAGAAGAGAACCTAGTTTCAAGAAGGAATCTATAGATGTCTACTGTTTTCACAGCCATAAAGTAGCCATGGAAAGAGTTGAGGAGCTTCAGACAGATTCATCAGTAAGTCTTTGTGGTCCACAAGCAAGAGATGGCTTTGAAAAGCAAAAATTGCTTCACAATATATCATGCAGGAATTCGAAGCAAAAGAAAACATTATCTCAGTTTCAATGCGGAATTGAAATTAGATCAATGTAAAACTAATCGAATAAAAAAGCATAGCAACCATATAGATTAGTAATTAGTTACGCGTGGTTCACAATCACTTCAGTCACACTTATTCATAAAACGCCGAAACAGTCTTTCGGATAAACCCGGATGCATTCCGCACTCCATGAGCAAGTGTGACTGAAGTGACAGTGAACCACGCTTAACCCGTGCGGCCCTCATCTAAATAATTACCAAAAATATTTCTAATCTTTACATTGTTTTTATGACTCTAATTATTATTTATATATTATTTGTTCTTTAATAATGGGAATTTGGTAACTGTTCATTTGGTTGTCCAAACCCTTGATTGATGCCGAACAAGCGAGATTCAATGAATAAAAACATACTTAACAATACATTTGAATAACGAATAAAATTCTTAATAAAAGTAAATTCAAATGTTAATAAGTATAATTTAGAAAAATCCTAAGATAGATAAGAATTTTTCCACGAAACATTACAATTTTTATTTATAAATACAAGAGTAGCTCTCAATTATTGATTATTGGTTATTTAATCGAATAAAATCTATTGAAATGTAAAATAAACAGGATAAAACGATTTCTTAGGTATTAATTATTTTTAATAGTTATGTTTTGAGAATGTTTGTTTTTTTAATGTTCATAGCTAATAAATTAAACTTGTAAGGTAACTTGTAAATTTTGTCATTTAGCATGATGGATCCATTCACTTGTTAACACACTACACTATAATTATCCGTACATATATTATTACAGTAAGGCTCGAAATCGGTTTTGTACCAAATATAAGCTCCTGTCATGCTCAAATACCACGAATGGGGTACCGTTGGATTCAAAATTTCACGGGGGGTTAGCGAATCGTATTATCCACTTTTGTTTTTCTTTCTAAAATAAATAAAGTCGATACAAACATTTTGCTAGGCTTCGATTCTGGAACGGTGGTAGGTCTGTAGATCGATACGGGACAAATTGGATCTTAAAGATTTTGATGCGTACAGCAAGACCCGGATAGTTTCCTCGGAACTATCGGATCTTGCGTTTTTAAGCCAAAAAACGTACTATTTTCGAGATAACGCAAGGCATAGGGTTCGCATCCACACAACCAAAATAGTCCAATCACCCAGAAAATTCAGGCAAACAAGTTATGAAAGAAAATAAACTTTATTTGCGAATAACTGAAAAATTACACACTTTTCCCTTGGTTATTCCCATGATTATATAAAACATTGCTAAATTGTTTACAAAAGGATAAAAGAACATCATCGCAATCGGACAATTTTTATCAAATATACAGCTAACTGAAATATGTATACATGTTGGTTCCAAACAGAAATGAAGATTAATTTTTGTTTGCTTTGTGGATTATATTTATCGATAAAGTAACATTTGATGTCTTAATCTTTTGATAAGTTGCATTTTCTCATTAATTTGGCATTTGATAACAATATGCTGTGCAAATTTTTCGCACGGGCCTACTAGTATATATTATTACTAAAAGTGTGGAATATTAATAGTTAAAGATTAGCTTCATTACAGCAAACAAAAAATCTAAATTTATATCACAAATTTCTTTATAAATATCCTAATCTATGCTAAAGAAAAACAATACGAAAATATTATAAAACTTACCAGAAAAAGTAAAATTTCACAACAGGAACTATTTCTGAGTAAGCCAAAGGTTTCCAGATTAGATAACATGTCATATAAAAATATCAAAACTATAAAAACTGTTTCATTGTATTTGTTACATTATACAACATATACCTAAAGTATGTTGCATTATTTTTCGAAAACGTTTTAAGAAATATCTATAAATCTAAACAGTATTTAAGTAGTGATTCATATGAGTTCATGGCTCTCTAGAAAACTATTTCAAATTTTATATAGTTTTGTTAATAAATAATAATGTAAATGATAACAAATAATTAACAGTTTTACTCCCAAAAAGTGGTAATAGGTCAACCAACTTTATATAAGAATATATTTTGAACTTTTGAAGATATTTTGGGAGGTAATCAGTACTGTGATTGCACCATTGTTTACAAATGTAACCTCCGCAACTGTTGCGTGCTCCTTGTCACTTTCAGGGTTGGAACATCTGTGGAGTGATCATGAGATAGTTACGTCTTAATTTTATTTTCCCAAAATATTTATCATCATTTTATTATTTATTCAGCAGTTTTCTGCTATGGAGTTATTTTTTAACTTCTTGGAATCCCACAGAACATTATGTTTCATAGATCTTTGTGCTTAGTACAAGGGAGGAAGATATGGTTGTTTTTGTTAGTATTAATTTTTGTGATTATATTTAGTTTTTTTCAGTATAACTACTTAAAACTCAAAGAGGACAGAGATAAATTGGGTATGTTACATCCTTGCTTTAATTTATCACACAAAATGTAGTCATTATAATGCATTAACTTGTCAGTTTATATATCAATCTTTCCAATATTAATATATTTCTAACTAATATATAACTATTCCATCCTCTTATATGTAAATGTAATTCTTGAATTTCATTATTTGTGTTATGGCAAACTCTGGGTTGACCATGTAAATTATGAAAATATTATTTGATAATTATAAGAAATTCATTTTATCAGTTATTGTTACTCTTTTAATAGACTGTTGTTATTTTTTAGAAGCCAGAGTATCAAGATTGCAAAGTTATTATAACTTGAAAGAAAATGCCAAACTCCAAAAAAAGAGAAGTGATTATGATGAAGCACAATTAATAATCTATAATAGAGTTCCAAAAACAGCTTCAACTAGTTTTGTGAATGTTGCCTATGATTTATGTAAAAAAAATGGTTTCAATGTACTTCATCTTAATGTAACTGGCAACCTTCATTTCATGTCCATTGCCGATCAGGTAAATCATTATTATTATCTAAGTGCGCTAAGTTTAAATTTTTGGTAAATAATGTGTTGAATTATACATAAATTTCAGGCCAGATTTATACGAAATATTACAAAGTGGACAGAAAAAAAACCTGCTATTTACCATGGACATGTTGCATTCATAGATTTTCTTAAGTATGCTTGTTTCTGATCCTTTAGTGAACATAGTTATTGATTTATATGTTGTAAATTAATCTTTAACTTAACATAATTTGTTTTTACTTTTTATCCTAGATTTGGTGCAAGGGAAAAACCGATATATATCAATCTTCTTAGGCGTCCATTAGATCGACTAGTTTCATACTACTATTTTCTTAGATATGGTGATAACTTTAGACCACATCTTATTAGACGAAAACATGGAGACAAAATGGTTAGTTGATAGCTATGTTGTTTGGAATAATATTGTATTTATTTTTACAAAACTAAATGTTTTATGCCCCTAGCATATGTTAAAGTGTTTTTATTGTTGTTGAACAATATAATGGAAAAAAAAAAGAATTTATTGGTTAATAAGAGGGTCAGGTACTATTTCACATGAGTTCCGTACGGATTACGTGTGCTCACAATCACTTTTGTCACACTTGTTCATGGAATGCCGAATCCCTCCGGGTTTATTCAAAAGAGAACAAAGAAGACCAATCTTGTAAGTCATTTACTAATAACATTCTCGCCATTAAAATACTTTTATACCCTTAACCATGTACAGTCAAACAGCATGAACTGACTTAATTCAACATTTAAGCTTTATCACTTAACCTTAATCTAACTTATTTATACAGATATTATGCAGCTGTGAAAAAGAAATAGTAATAGAAAAAACCTGTAAATAAATAATAGTAATAGAATTCTATTTCATGATATTTATTTTTCTTATTGATGATTTCCATTATTCATTATCTTGGAATTTTGGAATATTTTTCGTCAGCTGTTTCCCCAACACTTTCATTCCTTCCTCAAAAATAAACTTCCAAAAAAATACAATTTATTTTTACTTTCACTTAGCTATATATGTAATGTATAGTTAGGAAAAGTATTGCGATCATGAAAATTTTCGAATCTTAGTTTTCTACGGAAATAAACGTTTTGAGGTCCACTGAGTCCAAATTACCAAGTCCCGCAAAACGGTCAGTGTGTATGTATGTGAACAATCTACCTCAAAAAGGAAAAGTCGTACGAAACTGACATTACCTATTTAAGATAGTTATATGCTTTAGATGTCGCAACAACTATTTCCTTAAAATCGGCTAACCGAAAGTGCCACTTTATATCAACGGTGAAAAACATTTTTACAATTTTAACAAAAACGGCTCTTTAATATCATTTATGTCTTATCCCCATTGATGTAACCAATGTTCATATACGTCTTCCTCTAAAGTATCTTTAATCTTATGGTTTATTTAAAATAATTAACTCTTTTTTATTGACAGTAACTATAAAAAATGGCTAAATGCGAAGTTTTTAAGAATATAATAATTGGAAACTGGAGAAAAAAAGGAAAAATGTATATCCAGGGCAAAAATGAATTTCCGGAAATAACAGTCTAAAGGTATACGTATAATATATCGTTGGAAAGTGGAGAGTTTTAGAAAAAATAATATCAAATAAATAAAGTTGTAGAAAGTAACGCTAGGTGAAGAAAAAAATATAGATAACTAGCTTTACTCGTCCACCTGCTGTGGCTTAGCCTGGCAAAATGAAAAAGAACGAAAATAGAAAGCACATATGAGTAGATTAGTAGTAAAGGACATCTGTCATTTTTAAAAAGTTGGGAAACAAATTTGTCTGTAAAATGGCTTCAATTTAAACTAATTCTAATGATTTTTTTTTCTCATGATTCCAATTGAACATTCATAATCATCAGAAACAGTCTGAGTTGAACTTATAAAACTAAAATAAAAATTTAATATAAAGAACGTATAATAGTATTGACCTAGATAAGGAGAATCATATAACTTCTTCAAATGATAATTTCAATTACTGTAGTAATTATAAAATTTTCGATTAATCAATAAAAAAAAAAAAATGCTTGCTTACCTTCGGTAGTGAGGAAGCAAAAGGAATGGCCTTTTCTGAAGAGAAAGCAGTAAATGTTTAAAATTCTATAACTTTATTTTTTCGGTAAATCAGAAATCTTTCAAATAAATATGGGTATTATCAATCAAAAATTGTGTACTTTTTTAGTTATCGGCAAATAGAATATTGAATTCATCGTAGCATTTTTCAGCTTGTGTTCGGGAAAGTATGTTATACACATAAGTGAAAAGTTTCATGTGGAAGACTTTAGCCAAGTTTCGTTAAAATCGGTAAAGCCGTTTTGGCGCTACAGTTTATAGCGACACATTTTTTTGCGGCTTTCAACAGAGAAACATTTACATTTTTAATTTTTTTACATATATAAAATTATCGTAAGACAGAAGTAATATGCCAGAAACCTTCCCAGGAGTGTATGGAACAACTTCCCAAAGTTTCATGGCGATCGGATGAATGTTTTAGTAGTGCACAAAGGACAAACAGACGGACAGACATACATACATTCATTTATATATATATATATATATATATATATATATATATATATATATACAGATAATTTCAGAAAACTAACATTATTTAATATAAATCACATGTTTCCAAGAAAATTAAATGAAATTTCTTACTTAAACTTTTTAATTTTTTTCTAAGTTTGAAAAAAAAAATTTTAAATCAACTGAATCAAGCCAACAATGCTATTGTTTAAAATACTATTTCATTGTACTTGTGTGAAATATAAAAATATTTCATGGATATGTTTATAACCTTACATACATTTACTGTAGTTTAATAACTATAGATATGATATTATTATTTAAATAATTAGGTATCTATTAGCCACTTATTCCAAAAAATCATCAAGTAACCTAAAAAAACAAGTAAAAAATTAAATTACTCAATAATTTGATGAATTTTCTCTTTGTGAAATCCCAATATTATCCATTTATAACCAGTGTGACAACTTTTGACCTATCCAATGAAATCCAGGCAATGAAAATGTCGTTTACTCCAAAAAATCATCAAGTAACCTTAAAAACTAAGTAAAAAATTAAATTAGTGAATAATTTGATGAATTTTCTCTTTGTGAAATCCCAATATTATTCACTTATAATCAATGTGACAACTTTTGACCTATCCAGTGAAATCCAGGCAATGAAAATATCGTAATTTAATTTTAATAAACTTTACATTAGAAAATAACAGTTTAATTACTAATAGTCCTACAATACATAATCGTTTATAGGTTAAATATTCAGTTGTACTTTCAAATCTCTGTAGCCATATATGAGCTTTTCAGTTGACAGAATGACTTACTCCAATTTCAACATTCTTTATTATTAATTTTAGTGATGTTTCTTGTGGAAAAATTTATTCTCAGTTCTATATTTCAACACTGCAATCACCTACTCTGGAATCAACGTACTCACTGTCTATATAGATATAACTTTTCCAAATAGAAATATCACTAAAATGACATTACTCAAAAATGTTGAAATTGGAGTTAGTCATTCTGTCAACTGAAGAAAGACTCAGAGACTGAAGTTATTTGGTTTATATTAGCAGATGGAGTTATCTGATTTTTATTTCCTGCTGTCGATATAATAAATAGAGTATTTGTAATTTTAATGATCTTAATGATTTATTATCTGTAAGCTTTAAGCTTTAGCTCTGTTTAAAATGCACTTCAAAAACTTTATGATAGCCCAACATTGCCATAAAATAATTTCTATTGAAAGTATTGAGATATTGGAAAGTTGTGTGTTGCGCGAACCAGTTTTTTTAAATTTTTATTAATGACTACAATCGGTTCCCATTGTCTTATTATTAAGCAAAATAACTACGAATAATAATAATTATGCAGCTAATTCATTCAATAAAAATAATAGCAATTAAAATGAGAAAATAAATATTTGCTGACGTTTTTTTTAATTTTTGGGTTTCTTCAACATAACAGTCCACTCTTATGTTGGCGGGAATGCTTTTTATCAAAACAATATTGGATTTGAGAATACCTAATTGCAGATAGAATTTTAGTAACTTTATAATGAAATTTAGTAAAAAATATTTGTTCTGGGTCAGTATATAAATAGTTACCTTTATTTCTTAAAGGAGAACTGAAACATAATTTTATATATTTTCTTTATTTTTCTTCCAGAGTAATTACCATTATAATTAAAATTATTAACTAACAAATTTTAAATAAATAATTCGTTAATAATGAAGTTCTATGATGGGAATAGGCATGTTTTTCAAAAATGCGTCGAAGGAAACGTATGGTTAGGACAAGAGCTGACGTCATAACATTCAACTGTTTTCGTTGTTTTATATATAAGTGTGATCGAAGTGATTGTGAATCACGCATAATCTGTGTGGAACTCATGTAAACTAGTACCAAGGGTCACTCAACAACCACCTGAAATAATACATTAAGTTATTATGCAAATGTCCTGTTTTGTGGATTATATCATCAAAATACATATAATCATTGCCAATGATAATGGGAAAAGCATACAAATTGGTTAATTAGAAAAGATAAATATATAATTGTCTTGTGTTTAACTTTTGATTTGAAAAGGCAGTTAAAGAAGGATGTACGATTTAGTAATGTAGCTGTTCAAGAAAATTGTGCAACTCTTAAGATTAGCTGATGATGCTGACCTTACAGAAATATTGCTTCTAGCTGAAAGAGATATTTATTATGCAAAGTTCACGTAAAAACCTATGGCCGAAAGGATATGTTAACATTTGTATAAATAAAGCGAAAAAAAACCATAATCATAATTAAAAGTATGGCTGCCAAACTAAGAAAATCAGACGTTTTTATGCATACATATAACCAACAAGAAAACAGAAATGTGAAATGTTCTTATGTAAAGAAAGCTATGTTGAATTTTTTTGCTACAAAAACGGGTTTGTAATAATTACTGCTGGTGTGTTCGAAGGTCTCTGAAAATTTTAGCAGTTTATCGTACAAAAAGCATCCTTTTGAAGTGCTTAAGGTGGTTCTTGCATTAAGCTGAAATGACCAAAAGTAAGCTGTTTAATATGAACTATTTTTATCAAGAGATACATTTGTTGGTTAATAACTTTTGTTCTTACAGACAGTTTATTGTTCATATAAAATACCAAGATTACCTTTGTTTATGCATTACTTAAACTCATTACTCATGTGCAGAAAAAATTGGGTTTTATTTAAATATTTTTTTAACAAATAGAAAGTAGATGTTCATTTGAGTTTTGTTAAATAAGTTCTATTAATTAAACACTGTTGTAAAGTAATTGATACGAACTGTAACTGTCTTAGACATTCAGCGGCCCCTAGCAATGACGTAATCTCCCATTTCATTCAATATTTCTCTAGTACAGTCGCTTTATCAATAGACTATAATTAATTATTTTAATACGTTTTGTATTTTGGTAATAAGCACCCATGATGATCGGTGTCCTGGTTGCCGGGCTCTAAGGCCGGCTCAGGTTATGAATGATTGTAAAAAAATATATGCAATTTTACATTTAAACTTAAGGGGGATTATAGTAAAAATGAGAACACAACTGACAATTTATAAACTCAACCAAAACTCACTAAAAGTTATTTTTTTATTTCCAATTGCAAATAATTTTTAATTTAATGCTCAATATTTATTAGCCTCAAAAGGAATCTTCTAAGACCCATTTATGAACCTGTAGAGGTGAATGGTTCATTTCTACTCAAAAAGAGCGAGGAATTGTACACACTTTATGTTGATCTGAATGTTTCCCAATTTGTAAGGGTGCTACAAATTAGGTGCCTGGAGCACATGATCAGAATGAGGAAAAGACAAGTAGTATAGAACTCCATATAGAGTTAGATATTGTGAAAGATTAGAGGGAAGATAGAAGGACATCTGAATAAAATACCAATATCTATCAGACATACTAACGACATTGAGATTGGGGAAGAGTGGTAGAGCTTGCTAAAGATCACTTCACTCATCTTTGGCACAAACAATGAGTGAATAAATTTATTTTAAAACTTTTAATTTTTTTTTTTTTGTTTGTTCTCATCTTTTTAGGATATAAGGGGGGATTTCCTGAGCCAGAAGGTGAGTGTGGGAGATTAATGGCAGAGTTAAAAGACCCCTTGTAATGGGACCCAAACTCAATTATTTTGTCGTATTTAGTTTATCAGGTTGCCGGGTAACGCGAGGTACTCTACACAGGCGTTAGCCCGTTTGGTCACTCTGCCCCCAAAAGACAAAACTTTTAATTAAAATGTTAAAAAATTATTATTATTATTACCTTATTACCTTCAAACAATGTACTCACATTAGTGAGAAATACACAATAGACCAATGTTGCTATGGAGATTCCCATTGACAGTAGATCAGTCCAAATGCTCAATACTTCCTTGGTGTGTACATCATTGCCACAGATAATATTTAATACTTGATATGTATTGTATCTAGATATATTTATGTATGCTCCAAAATTTTATTGCAAAGTTAAATATATACTTAAAATACAATATATTTATGATTTAAATCTATGTCTAAGTAGAAATATTGCTTTTGCAAAAATAAAATTATATGAACAATAATTGGGAATAAATTACGTATGGGAATAAAACTCCTACCAACCTCTCTTCAATATATCTACTTCAGTCAGCTATCAATCCACTAACCTTCATTTTTATATGTTTTTAGACGTTTGATGAATGTGTTCAACAGAAACAGTCTGACTGTAATCCAGAAAATATGTGGCTTCAAATTCCATTTCTTTGTGGACATTCAGCCGAGTGTTGGTATGTAACTATTGATCAGCTTCAAAAATCTAATTTTAATTTCCTCTGTTTTGTTCACTATCATAGGTTTTCTTTAAACCTAAGTAAATTTAAAAATTGGTGCTCTTGATGGTGATTTAGTTTTTGATACAGTATATATATTTATTAACAATTGATAATTTTTATTCTAATTACTATACTATATTAATATATAGGATTTTAATCTCTTATACATTAATTTTAAGAATTATTTTATTTCATGTAAAGATAATAAAATTCTATTTTAGGGAACCAGGAAGCGAATGGGCACTTGAAGAAGCAAAACGTAATCTTTTGTCTCATTACCTTGTGGTAGGTGTTACAGAACAGTTGACTGACTTTATAGCCGTTCTGGAAGCTACATTACCTACATTTTTTAGGGGAGCTGTTGAGCATTTTAAATCGAGTAAGCACTGATAATAAAATTTTGTTTTTTTATTTTTATATAAGGTAAGTAGTGTTAATAAGACAGTTAGCCTTTCAGGGTATTGCAGTTCATAATGGCCCACTTGAGCAGGTAATATCTGAGCAGCAAATCAAAAACAAAGATCTTGCAAAAATTTACAAAAAATCTCCATTCAATAAATCTTCTTTGGGTCTTCCCAGAGAAGGTGGCCCTGAGGTGACAACTGTATATGATCTCGTGTATGAATAAGTGTAAAGTGTAGTGTTCTGTCGTGTGAGAGTGCCATGTACTTAACTAAGGAGCCTGGGGGAGTGTTATTCCCCAGTAGTCTGGCACTAAGACTAATCCCTGCAGTAACTTCTTTGTCTGTGAAAACAAATTATAAAACTAATTCCGAAAGAAGAAACTATATAGTTATGTTCATTTTTTATTTATATGAATGCGTATTTTAAATTATAATACAATTTATTGAAAAAACATGACATTATAATTGTATTTAAAAAAATAAAAATGTATACTTATCTTTTTTGTATTGGTCCCTATTTTTAATTTGATTATTTTGAATAGATAACGTTTTCTTGAAAAAACTAATATCTCCCCTAGGGTTTAGCGTATCACCAATAAATCAGGCATTTAGCATCAAAAAGTACATTGAAATCATGTGTCACAAGTAGAATTCATCCGCTTTTCTCCCAGACTACTGGACAAATTGGTTTGATCAATATCGATTCGGAACCAATTTCAAAGGGCATCTAAGAATGATCCTCAGAACTCGGCATTACCATCCACCTTTTCCTTTCAAGATAGTAGTCGAAAAACCTGTGTTGGTATAGACTGTAGCACCTTAACTAATGTACTGATTTTAATGAAACTTGGCCAACATCTTCTCCTCGAAGCCCTTGAAATTTATCTATACATAAAATTTATGAGGGATGGTATAATTAGATTTTCGAATAACTCAAAAATTGTGCACTTTTTTGTAGCTGTTTCGGTCATTTGAAAATTATTTGCAATATCAGGCATCAAAAAAGAAAAATGTACAATTTAGTCCATAAAGGCCAAAACGTTCAATTTTGTGCAAAAAGAAATTTCAATGTGTTATTCTACAGATCCGGATACGGATAGATTGTCGGGTTTGAAGTTTTTACACCTAAGCAAACAAAATGTGCAATAACATGAAAATGCGGTCTCTAGTTATGACTTACAAAGAGGTATATTTTTAGATTCAGATCCAATTTTCAGCTTTATAATTTCAAAAAAGTGCTTCCTAACCAAGACTTAATTATTTCAAAAATTAAATTCTGCATCGGAAGAGTTTCTAATATTTTAAATTTGATTCCAAATTATGGTAAGATATATTATCAAATTTTTACCAATCTTGTCAGAATATCGACTTTGAAATGCATGTGCCATGTAAACACTTCTAAATATTAAAAATATATTATGAAAGTTGTTTAATATTAAATTTTGTATTGTTTCGATCAATTATAATTATCCAGTAATATTTACTAGACAGAAATAACAATCTTTGATATGGTTTTTGTGTTCTCTCCAAAACATCAGTGCGCCGAATTTCAAACTTCTCCTTCTAGTCCAATGGTGTAAATGTTTGGTACAAATTTTACTGATGTGCATAGAATTTCTCCTAATCACCGAGCTTAACACCAAAGTATCCATGATAAGCTCTCTTTACAAGGTCATTATCGGTCTTTATTTTATGTTTTAATGTTCTTCACATATGTAGCAAAACACTTCAGAATGATTTGCATAACTTCCTCTCCATGAACTCATTTTTACCATCTTCAATTATCCTTATCTGATTTCATTGTCATTTTATCAACTATCCTTAATGGCTAAAACTCACAAACTGATTTGAATTGAAGGATGGGATTCTCAGTGATGAAACATGGATTACCAGCCTGGTCAAGAAGGAAGAAGCTGCACGAGTTACGCAGACGATTTCACTTCACTTTTCACGCTTATATCAAACATAGAGTTGATAAAAAAAAAAAAACTGATTTCATATTTAGATTCAGCATCACAATTATAGCTAAAATCAGTTTCAAAATCCTAGGCACCATAAAATTTTTTTCTCTTGTAGATCCGTGTTATTCTTCATTAGGAATGATAAATATAGTTGCTCTTAGATTGTGAATTTTACTTTTCTTAGAGTATTTATTTTATTATTTCTTTAAAATGATATGATCAACATTTCATGATGAAATCACTTCTATTGCTTCTATTATTGTCATTAAAAATCTATTATGTATTAGTTCATTCGAATTTTGCATAACATTATGTGGCTAAAATTATACTGTTAGGACCTTCCGTCTAGATACTTACATTTTTACAATGAATTCTATTATAATTACAATATTACCAAAAGTTTATGTAATTTATGATGTTAGGTACTCCTCTGACAAATTGGTAATTTAATGTTCTTTAATTCTTGAAGTAATAGAATTTTTGTTAGAAAGTGCCTTATTGAAGTTATAAATAGATAAAGAAAGTCTAAAAATTGGCCTTCAATCTAAAAATCTTGTTGCATGTGAGATATAACCAATATTGGATACGACAAAAAGTTATAGGACCAAAGTTTTATATATTTTTGACTTTTCTCTACATATAAAATATGATGCTCTAAAAATTGTATTCAAAAGACTTTTAATTCAGATTAGCTGTTTTCACTGTATATATATTTGTAAGTCATACCTTGACAAAGCTGTTACAGTTGTCTTCTTTTTTTAGCATCGTTTTTGACAATACTTCTAGGTTTAATTTATGATTTTAGGTATACATCAATGCAAAATTTAATGTTCCCTAATTCTGAATGTAGAAAAGTTGTTGATAAGAAGTACAGAGATTTGGTTGTATTTATGTTTTATAAATACTCATACTAAAAGATACCAATCATTAAAAGTTAAATTTGACTTGAGCTGACCTTTTTCCAAGATAGGTCTATGGTATGGAGAGTATGGCAGGTCTATGGTTCTCAAAAGAAACCCTGTGCTTGTACGATCACAAAATTATGACATTTATTCAATCATTTTATGTATATTTATTAATATTATATCGTATTGAATTGAAATTAATTCCGTTATTGTAAACATTTCCTTTTCTATGTGAATATTGTTATTATTATTTTATTTTTTTCGTTTCAAGGTAAAAAAGGCCATTTGCGAAAAACCAATCAGAAAATAGAGCCCAACGAAGAAACCATTAGGCAGATTAAAAGTACTGTCATTTGGAAAATGGAAAATGAATTATATGAATTTGCTCTTCAACAATTCCAATTTTTAAAAAAACGAATGGAACGAAATAAAGATGGAGATTTGGTTGATAAAGGTCAGCAATTTATGTATGAGAAAATTAGTCCTAAGAAAACTCATTTATGATAATGATTTGTTAATATTACTTTGAAATGTTAAAATTTACATATCATATTGTAAAATAGATATATTTATTATCCATTCAAATAGTATATTATTGACAATACTTTTGTTTTCCACCATTGTTTCAATCTACTTTATCTTTTATATCATTTCATAAAATTGTTTTTTATTTCATATTATTAATGTTATAGTTTAAAATAATGATTTAGAATAACAATACAGGTGAATTTATAACATTTACTAGTTCTAGTAAAAAGTATTTGCCGTTCAAAGTATTCTAAACTTAGTTTTTCCAATTTCTTAAAATAAAAAATAACAATTTTAAAATTTTCTATTACTTAATAATATATTTATGTCCTGACCAAATAAAATGTTAAGTAATTTCATCTGTGTCTCTTTGATATTACAGAACTCTTTGTAACATGTACATAGTTCATACCCTCCCAGCATTATGGCCACCATAAATCAAAAGAAATACCGTCTCTTCATTTTAATTTTCTATTTTATTACTTTAATGTGAGAAGGAAGTCTATAGAGCTTTCTCCAACTCTGTTGGTCTTCCATCAGCTGTTTTTTGTCATAGTGGAGTCCTCTGTATAGGGTTACTTTGGCCTTACAAGTCTAGTTGCGATTCTCTCAGCTTCCATTTGTAAAAATCATTCAAGTTAACCAAGTGACTAGTTTACTATTAAGATTCATCATTAGGATCCATGATGTGGTTAAAATTTGATTTAAAATAAGTCATTTTCATGTTTTTCTTTACGCTTTGTAAACAAACATCTTTTAACTAGTTTAAATGCCCTTTCACATCTGCTTTATTTTCAGTCATTTCTGTATTTATGTTGCTATATTTATACATATTAAAGTTTCCTTCATATGCAATGTAAAAATTATTGGAAATTTGATTATCTGATCTAGGACTGTGATAGATTAGACTGAATTATCAATTCTTTACTCTTCACTTAGATATTTTTATTGTATTAATCTGTTATATGCAGTAAGAACAATTATGGGCATCAGTCTGAGAGAATTTTCACTATAAAAATACTTCTCATTTAATTAATAGTATTTTAATCCTGTTCTTCAGAACATTATTTTTATCCCTGCCTTCAGTAAAGGTTCTCATTTAGTACCTGCTTAAAATTAAACTTCAACTTTTTTTTTTAAAGTGCAAACAAAACTTCTAATTAATTGCGAACATTTATTGGTACAATATTGCTAACATTTCAAGAATTTCCTCCTACATTAAGAGCATAGTTTCTTATTAAAATTTTATTTTTCTTGTATTTTATGAATTTAACTGACATTTCTTAAAAATAATTAAACAGAACATTTCAATGTAATCGATCATTGATATTATGACCATACAAATATATTTTTATTAATATATAATCAAGTTAACATGTAAGCATGCTATTCTTAAGAAGAGAATTTTTTTTTCAAATATTTGCTAATATTGTTTAGATAAAATATTATGATTTGCTTGAAACCTTTTAAAAACAAATTAGACACCGCATTAAAAAAAATTATGTAATATTTTTTAGTATAAGCATAATTATCCCCATGTACTTAATATTTTTCAATGAAATATCTTGGGATTGATTTTGTGCTGGATATGTAAATAAAAAATAAATTGTACTTAAAAAATTTAGTATTTAGTGTATTGACTGCTTTTCAAAGTACAATTGTCAAAATTATTTTTATTTAATATGAGAATTTAATGTATTTATTTTTGTTACTTTAAGTTTATTCCTGCCCTTGTGTTTCTAAATTTTAGTAATAATGAATTATGTTTTAACTTGAAGTTTTTCTAGTTAGCTTAATTTATTAACTGTAAACTTTACTCTTGATTTTTCTCATGTATGCTAATTGATAGTGAAAGATTTATTTTCTTTATTCACGTCTATTCTTGTTTTTATTTTTTTAAAAATTAATTTAAGGTTCTAAAAAATGTTTGAACTTGTATTAATTTAATTAGTTTTATTAAAAAATGTCATCTAAATTATTTTTAAAAGATCTTATTGTCTGTTAAACTTTGATCATAATTTATAAAAAGATATTTCTGATGTTTAATTTAGTTAACTTTAAGTGGGCTTTTTTACTATAGGCAATTTTTTCATAATATTTTATATTTTTACAATGAAAAGTATTAACCAATAGTTTTTAGTATTGTTGATTTATGTTGTATAATTTAGTTTAAAGTTTGTAGTTTGTAATGAATGAAAGCTGATTTGTAACCTTGAAACATGGCTCTGAGTTCTGGGAACCGTTTAGAATTTTCCCTCTTGGTCCTTGTGAAGATAACTGTTTCGTTATTTGAATATAAGAATAGTTTCAGTTTAGGAAAACAAATTCAAGCTTGTGAGTAATTATGACATTATCTAATTTTGGCAGATTTTTCATGTTATAATTTTGTTCTGGTTTTTGTTTGTTAAGGCAATTGATAAATGTTGTGAGATGAAAAGGTGTATATACAATATGTTACAATACGTTGTTCAGGACATACAAAAGAAGATTTCAAATGAGGCTTTCTTTAATAATTTTAGTGGCTTAAATCTTAAATTAAAAAATATAATAACACATAAGAATATAAGATCTTTTTCTTGGTTTTAGTGGTTGATCTATAGTTTAATTATTGGAAGAAAATAAAAAAGTACAAAAATGCACATAGGTTTTCCACATCTACTGTATTGTATGATATACTGTTTTTTTATTTGAGATATGTTGTATTTTAAACATCTGTAGTTTACTCAGTATACAAAATATTTCATTTTGAAATATTAGTAAACTAATTTTCAACTTGCAGGTAGTTCTGGTGTAGTTAATTCACTATAGGATTAAATTTATCTATCCACTTATTAGGAACACTTGTGAATCCATAATGTATTTTGGTTGAAGTCCAATACCTGATGGAAGATTTCCACACCTCCCCTTCTGCTCCACCAATTAGCTTCATGATTGCTGTTCAAAATGGCCAGTTAGAGGGTTAATATTGAAGGAAATAAATTATTAAAACCAACTAACTGCTACTTTTATAAAAAAATTATTTTATTACTCGATACCGAGTTACTTTTACTATGACCAATTCTTTAAATTAAATCAGTATTAAAATTGTTGTAAATGTACTATTAATATTTTTTACGATATTCAAGTTAAATTATTTTTCTTTTTTTTTTCTTTCTTTTGATGTTTTACGGTGTATAAAAAAAATCTAGTCTTGGTTTTTGTGTTGAAATACATCTACCGTAAACATCCCGTTTACTCCCCCTCACCTCTGATTGATTGATAAGAGGATATAAGTAAAGCTGGTTTATTTCATTGAATTTTGAAAAAGAATGATTTCACCCACTTCAAAAAGTCTACCTTGTTAATTAACTGACCATTTATTGTTTACTTCATTTTAATTCAATTCATCCTTATTGGTGCTAGGTGGTAAAAATTGCTAGATTTTTATCTATGTAACATATATAATAATGAGAAGAAGTATTATGATTTTTTGTCCATTAAAATGATATGATTTAGTTATATTTTTTGGCATATTATTCCTTGTTAATTAATTTTAATAGAATTATTTTAAATAAAATAATTTTTGTTATCTTGGCCAATTTAATTAGGTTAGTACAAACTGAAAGTATTTCCTTTTTTTCTTTATTTTATATCTTCCTTATTCTTATTATTTTTGTTTCAAAAATTATATTTATAAGAACTTATATTTTATATCTTTCTATTTCTATTCCTCAATTGCTTTTATCATAAATAATCCTTAATTAAAACTAAAAAAAACGTTGTTTTTTTTCAATATTATAAATCATTTTAAGTAAATTGTAAAGTTTTAGAACTTATATAAGTCTATGTTAATATTATGAAATTAGTATTATTTGTAATAATTATACTAGATATATTTATTGTGATTGGTAATAAATGTTCTTTCCATCTTTGTATTTGGGGCTCTATTAGATTAAAGTGGTGTATTTACATATTTTATTTTATAATTCTTGATGTTAAGTCAATCTTGAATGTTGGATTTCATTACTTTGTTCAGATTGGATAGCTCTGTTTGGTTATTTATGGTTGAGAATTAACATTTAAGCATAATTTATTTTTAATATATATTTATCTGCATGATGTTTTCTGTATGGCAAGGATGACAAAGTTCTATTTTAATCAAAGGTTAAAACTCATGATTCAAATCTGGATATCTAATAAAATCTTATTTGTCTTTTTGACTTGACTTTTGATGTGACAATTGAGTCAAAGTTATTGAATGAAAATGGTATATATCATTAATATTTATTTGTTGGAAATTAGCAGATAAAACTTTATTGTGCCATCTTATAAATCGAGGAAATTCCAGGTATTCATTTCTTTAATATTTCCTTGCATTCTTAATTAGTTGGATAAATAGAGGATGATTATACTAATGAATCTTTATCTTGTGAATTTGGATGAAGTATGTGAAGTAGAGAATAATATTTTGTGTTCAAAAAGTATAAATATGAAAAAAATCTGGATTTCAGTTAAACTTTTCTGGATTAATTTAATTTGGCAAATCTTCATTACTTTCTCTGACTTTTAAGATTAAATAACTAAAAGTAAAATTTAATTTTCTGTCACAATTGAACAATTTTTTGGCTATTTCTGTGGGGTAGGAAAGACATTAAGAATAAAAGGAAGACAATTTTATGATTATTGAATGTTTTGTTGCATAGATGTGATGTAATTAGATTCTACATGTTTATTTGTACTATTTCATGGTTATGAATTTAGAGATTTCATTAAACTAATAAACTTGTTTTTTATGTGTGAAATGGAATAATTTATGTTTGCATAAAGATAATTCGGTAATTGTAAATTCACTATTCAATAGAAGAAACTATCTAGTAATTTCTAAAAGTGTAATGTATAGTTTAAATAAAAGTGTAGAATCTATATTATTTATATAATCTTTATTGTCTACATAATGATATAAATTAAATTTTAGTTATGAAATAATTATTATTACCTGGTTACTAAAATTTTGCATTCATCCACCTTAATCATTTAGTGACAGGCAATTTGGAAACCTATATGACTAGATCTACATTAATGTTTGAGCTTATGTAAGATTACAGTTTTAGTTATTGTTTATGATATTTATTTTTATGTTTTTTCCTCTTTGGCGTAAAATGAAACCTCATTAAGTTATTCTTGTAAAATTGTAACCTTATTAAGTTATTCTTTTGTCAACTTTTACATCGTAATATTACCTGATATGGTTTTTA